ACTCTCACAGTTGCTACTTGTGTAACACCATCTTTTGTAACTTTATTCTTAGATGGAGCTATTAATATATTTTGTGGTTTAATATCACGATGTACTATTTTCATTGAATGCAGATGATGCAAACCCGCAACTATTTGGTAAAGAATCTTGGAGGGATGTAACGATGTTAACAAATGTGCATGTTGAAATGTTGAACCGCGTTCTATCAAATCATGTAATGAAGCAGGACAAAGTTCAAGAGCAATATATAAAAATCGATCACTTTGTTCTTTACAATAATAACGGATAACATTTGGATGATCATCACTTTCTTGTAATAATGATACCTCATGATATGCAATTTCATAAAAATCTAGTAAAAGCCTTTTAACAGCAACATCACGACCATCAAAAGATCCTTTGTACACAATAGTCCCATGACTTCCATAACCTTATTAAAACAAGTAATATCGTATTAGCGGTGTATTAATTGTGAGCTAGTTTTAAATATTTTTAAATACCTAAAATAATATCCGTAACCACTAAAGAATTCAATTTTAATTCACCATTAACAGTGGTCGAAACTGTCGAAATGGTCGAAACGGTAGAGGTAACATGATCCGTGGTCGCATGTACAGCACTATTATCCATATTAGGACTTCCCGTAGGAAGAACAATAATATCATTAACTATTGGCAACAATTCTTTTGGAGGCACACCTTTCACTGACGGTAATTTATTCATTTTTTCATCTTTTACATCCGATTTCTTAGTTACTACCGTTGACTTTGTCGCTGCAGTCGATTTTCCGCGTTTCTTATTCTTCTTCGGAGGGTCTTTTTTCCCCCCAGGCTTCGTAGAAAGTGAATCACTCTGGGGATTTTGTTTAAAGAAATCCATCAATTTATTTTTGAATGAAAAGTTAAAACGTCTTCTATTTTCCAACGAAGGCCTTAATGCAGTTCCTCGCCTTCCATTCCAATAAAAGATCCCGAAAATGACCGTGATAATAATGGCCCAAGATATACCGACTTGCGTTGTAATCTGTGGTTTAGAAGAATTCCCGGAAATTCGGGTGTAATTACCTTCTGGAGGAGGATCAATTAAAGGTACCTCAGGAGGGATTATTATATGACTTCCAACCAAACACTTTGGATATATTGATGAACCAGGATGGCAACTTCCTTCATACTCGGGAACCTCTTTCTTAGGTGAAATTCCAGGCGGTGGCGGTGTATATTGGATTAACGGATAGTTTTCAACTGACATAACAAACAATGTACCGTTAATATTTCCAATGTATGCAGATAATTGTGAAGGTTCCTTCTTATAATAGGCAATTGAAGGTCTTGATTGTCTCACGATATGAAGACCACTTGACAATTCCTTTGATGCTAATACATCAAAAAATCCAACAGCTGGAGAAGGAAATTGCTGAAGCCAATTAGGTTCGCCTTTTTTTATCGTATACACAAATGTAAAAAGTAAAAAACATTGATATAATAAATATAATAAATAAATAATAACCAAATTAGTTTATTATACGACACTTAGTTATCTGATTATTTCATTAAAATGAATTATAAACAAAAAACAAAAGGCTTACCGTTTGCAGAGTCAGTTGAAAGAACTTCACCATTATGAGTAGAGGAAATGTAAGAACCAGGTGAAATATTATGCAACAATTCAATGCTGGCATCAAAGCTATGAGGGACATATTCAGTATAGGTAAGGTTCCATTTTGGTTTACCACGCTCATTAAAAATTGAAATTTTATATGCTGAATAAATTTAAAAATTGATAATAAAACAAAATTATTATACTAAAAATTTAGACTTTTTTTATTGAATTATTATCATTAGACTTATTTTTTTTTTTTTTAAAAAAAAAAAAAAAGTTAAAAAAAATACCATTCATGCCCATATACAAAGCATCTCGAGGAAGTGAACCAGTAGAAGGACATTCATCTAATTCATCATCACTGTTGAACGACTGGAGAATTTTGCCGGTAGCAGGATCGATTGCAAAGAACTTTGTAGATTTGCTGCCGACGATGAATACTTTACCATCAACCGATCGAAATGGAGAATTCATAACCAATTGTTTAACTGTCTGAGGAAATTTCTAATAATATTGTGCCCATTAGATAATATAAGCAGAATAAAATTTAGGAAAAATAAATCCGCATATACCCTAATAACACGAACCACGAATGACATCATTATTGTGATAAAAGAATTGAAGTTACCTGAAGACCAGTCTTTGGAGAGAACATATATAAAATACCATCATTATTTGGTTCGACGATATAGGTTATTTCCAGATCGGGATCTTCTTCCTCGGGATCAGCATTCACCTCGGAGAGTTGAGAATCGTCAATCGTTTGACCATTATCATCGGGGGGAAATAGATCAAAAGTAACTTCATCGTTGTCACAGTTGTTAGATACATTTTGTTGTTTAGTAGAAGGACGCGTAGATGTTTTAATCAAAGAGCCTTCAGCAGCACCTTCTAAACTCCATAATAAATGGCCAGTATACCGGTCGACACCGTGCAGGTTGCCATCCAGTGTAGAAATGAGGACCAAATTGATTGGACTAAGGTCAAGTTTTGGGGGGAGAGCATCGACAAGACTCACTAGTCTTGAGAAGTGAGGAGGTGTAAAATGGACAAGTTCTTGAGAGTCAAGTTTTGATTTTGCATGCGTAAAGATAAATAATAAAGACAGAAAGACGAGGATCGATATATACATGGGAGTCGAAAATATTTTGCTCTTGGCGTAAATTTAAATGGCGAAAATGATTTTTGACAATCAAAATTGTATGTCGAAAATATTTTAGTATGCCGAAAATATTTCTGTATGTCGAAAATACAGAAATATTAAAATGTAATTTTTTGTGATCTCCCGTGATAATTAACGTTAACGTTAACCAATCAAAATTCATAATTTTTTGTATATTACTGTATATATATATATACTAGAAAACAAGAAAAACCATCATATCAGATATAAAGAAGCTTATAAACTGATAAATACGCTAAAGAATTTATCACATATATCTAGAGAATAGATCGATACATGTAAAGTGGGTAAATGTTATTATATTTATTATTATATTTATTATTATATTTATTATTATATTTATTATTATATTTAATATTATATTTATTATTATGTTTATTACTAATAAACCCAAACTCATACAAAATTCACTACGTAGATATAAACCAAAACTTTAATTTACAATTGACAAACTCAAACACATTACAAGAACAAACATTAATCCAAGTCCTACTAAATTAAACAGTTAGCAATAAAAATTTAACCTAATAAAATAGGTTTAGAAAACGTTTCTAATTACAGTATAATTTGATATGGTCCAATAAACGGTAGTCTGTTTTGTCTTCTAAGCGAAGTTCTTCAGGTTCCCGATATTTTCGTACAGTATTATTTATTAGTGAAACGTTACGTTATCAAAAAGCACTCTAAAAGGTATAAATAAGTTACTCGGGCAATAGATTTACATCAGCAAGCCATACGAATGTTCTACGCATTATTGCTTTAAGGAACAGTTATCAATATCATACAATCAGCGAAGAAGAATAACAGTCCACACACTCAAGATATCCTTTAGAACGTTTATGGACAAGTTAATCTGCTTAGTTGCTCTTTTTGCATTTTTGATACAAATGTTAAATGATTGAGCTGCTGTGTTACTTTAACAAATAAAAGTGATTTATAAATTTAAATAAGTGATTTTTTGTGAAAATCGGTTACGTAGTATAAAGAAATTAGAAGAGTTTAGACCGATAAAATGGTTCCAGAATTAAGACACAGCCGTCACAAAACGATTATTTCAAAAAAACAATAACGAAAGTATTGCAGAAGTGTTTGCGGCGGTGTAATAGCCATAAAAGCAATAGAGGCAGGATCGAAACAAACCGGCTTATTGGCTATCCAAATCTATCCATTCCCGTAAGGCTGAAATCTTATCATTCCATTGTAAGATAAGCCACACTAAAGTCCGAATCAAATCGACCGAATAGTTAAAAGATTTATTACAATTTCTAAAAGTAAAAAAGGTTAATTTAAACATGAAACAAATAAATAGAGCTAAATGGCTAAATGATATTCAGTCATGTGAATTATAATAATAGGTCAGTAAACCCTTTATTGCAAGATCGGATAAAATTTTTAGCCACTGCAGTTGCCTTTTTGTTTGTTTCTGACTTTGAATTCCTAAACTTACTAATCACTAATCACGATTAAACGTTTAACATTAAACATGTCTTTACAAGAAACACTCTTAACTCAGTTTCAAGAAAATCCTTTAAACTGGTTCTTATCCGGATTTCTGATTTACGTTATTTATTCTTATCTAAGTCCAGTACCGTATAATTTGCCAGTTGCAAGGCATGCAGAAACTACAGTATTTCGAGAATATATCCCAAAGCAGCTACGAGAGTACGATGGTAGAACTCCACAAACAAAGATATATATTGGCATTTGTGGTAACGTTTTTGATGTTACCAAGGGTCGAAATTTTTACGGACCTGGTATGCAATATGTATATGTTTTTTTTCGGTTTTTTTTTTTTTTTACTAAATATTGCGATTAAATAGACTAATTCACTGTTATGAATAATGAATTCATTTTGGCTTTTACAGATGGCCCATATGGAAATTTTGCGGGTCGTGATGCCTCCCGTGGTCTAGCAAAAAATTCATTTGATATGGACGTACTTACACCTATTGATCAACCGCTAGATACCCTTGAAGATTTAACTAGAGATGAAATTGAAAGTCTTAATGATTGGCACGCTCATTTTGCTGGAAAATATCAACTTGTTGGTAAATTAGTTAATGATAGTGACGTTCTTTAACCATTGCAAAATATTTTCATATTATTCATAATTGAGAATGGTCTTATTAGTAGTTCTTCATTCGCATATGACTCGCATGATAATATAGCAATTACTTGTTATGTCCATTATAAAAGGATTAAGGATATGAGAGATACTTTATGGCTTGACAATTGTAACAGGACATCGCAAATGTTTAACCAAATAATCACTAGTAGAACTCAAGACAATCTTAAATCATAATTATAAATAAAAAGAATAGTTAGCATTATTGAAAAAGACTACTTTGGAAATTTATCATTAAAGCATAATTAACCTTTTGTAATCCATCAAGGTCTCTTGATCCGACGATTAATAAATTTAAATCAGGCTTATGTGTTTCAATATAGTCTTTCAAAATTTTCCCAACTATTCCATGTCCTTCAAGTTTGTTAAAGTTATATTCAACGTCTGGCTTTATATTTCCCGTTAATAAAATTAATAATAATGATTAGTAATAATTTATGGTAAATTCATTACTCTTTAAAAGATTACTCTTTAAAAGATCCCTTACATAAATACTTTTGTATTGCTCTAAACGCTCCATCACCATAGATATGGGTTTTTTTGCATCTAAAAGGATATCAAGGTTGTTGGCTTTGTCCAAATTATGCCTATCAAATTATTCCTATATTAGAAAATTGAATTCAAATGAATGCAGCAACACGTCAAACTCACAAAAATGGGACGTTGGTTTCTGGATTCAATGCAATGACATAGACGATTTCTAAACTATAAGGTGTATTTAGTCTTGAACATAAATCGAACGCGTGTCTAATCGCTTTGCATGACACCTCTGATTCTTCAGCCGCGATCAAAATTTTGTATTGATTTGAATCGCTCATGGATTTGATTGCTCAAAATTACTTTGTTTGCGATAATACAAATATGCTTTTTTTTTAAAAAAAAAATATATATATAAATATTTTGTCTTTAGAAAGTTTTGATTCTTCACCCAGTGTGCAACATATAAAAAAATTATTTTACAATACCCAGATCATTCCGTTAGTACATGATATGATTATAATCCCACACCATTTTATTATGCGGTATTTCTGGTATTGTAAAATAATTTTTTATATGTTGCACACCGGGTGAAGAATCAGTCGACAGTTTAAGTAAAATCATCCAATAATAATACTAACGCCAAACCCTAACTGAGATGTCACATGTTAATTGGTGCGACTAATAGAAACTTGGGGGGGAAATTAGTAAATGCACTTTACACAAAATCTTAATTGTAAAGGTCGATCTAGAAAAATGGTATTGACTACTTGCTTTTGGAATTAAATTATATAGCTTTAGCTTTAGCTAGCTTATTATAATAGGGAAAAGCGAAGAAAACAAGAAGGTTTGCCGAGGTTAAACGCTTATTAAATCCTAACGATTCAAGATTGTGAGCTATCTTTATCTTTGCATCAATTTTATAAGAGACTACATGACTTTACTTGTGGATCAAGTCATATTGGGTTTATAAATCGAATAAATTATACTAATTTCTTACTGGTCGATATTAGAAAATCTGTACAAGAAAAACAAAAAAAGAAAAATGAAGAGAAAGAAAAGGAGGCTGTTCGAAATGTGTATGCCTCTCCAAATTTTAATGTTTTATCTTGAAAATTAGTTATATCATAAATTGATCTGTCTGTTTTATACATAGGCCACAAGTAGCCTCTTCTTTATTCTTTAAACATAATACAGCTTTAGGACCACCCTATCAAATTTTAGTGGATACAAATTTTATTAATTTTTCAATTCAGAATAAATTAGAACTTGTACAGGCTATGATGGATTGTCTTTATGCTAAATGTAAGTTTCGCATTTTAAATTTTCTTAATGCTTGTTATTACTTAATTGATATTTTTCTTTTTCAATCAATTAGGTATTCCATGTATAACGGATTGTGTAATGGCTGAATTGGAAAAATTAGGACCGAAATACAGGATTGCGCTTCGGTAAGATATTATAATGAGCAATTCTTTAATTTCTATGATTTCTATTTATAATGATTTTCAATTTAGTGTCGCGCGTGATTCAAGATTTGAAAGACTACCTTGTACTCACAAAGGAACATATGCTGATGATTGTTTGGTACGGCGAGTGATGCAGGTCTGTAAATTCGTGCCTTATATGACATGTTCGCCATTATACCCAATATTTATTTGTATATTTTTATTTTTATTAATAAAATAGCACAAATGTTATATTGTAGCAACGTGTGATAAAGATTTAAAACGTCGTATTCGTAAAATTCCTGGTATCCCTATAATGTATATTTCTAAAAGAAAATATACAATTGAAAGATTGCCTGAAACTTATGGCGCCTATTAATTTTAAACTTTTTAATCGTCATGCGTAGCGAAATTGTAAACCTGAATAATAATTAAACAATACGTTCCATTTGTTCTTACTGCTACTTAATAATGGTATTACATCGAAATTCCATTTTTTAAACACATTTTCATTCTTTCAAAATATTCATCATTAGGTATGTTAAGTGGTCCATAGAGTACTAGTTCGAACAAAGTCTGTACTGGGACTAGTTCAGAATAGTGATACAAATCGAAATCGAAATTAATCGATTAGTTGGTTAGTTGACAACTAATCGACTGAACTTTTTAGACACCAACTAATCGATTTGTTGCAACTAATCGACCAAAGAATTAATTGATTAGTTGCAAAGAATCGATTGAAAATTAATTTATTTACTTAATGAATTAGTTGCAACTAATCGATTAATTGACCAGTTGCAACTAATCGATCACTGCAATAGTTGCAACCAACTAATTGATTGAAAAAATTTTGACGATTTGTAACACTAGTTCAGACCTGGTCCAGGGTGTCCAGGATTATGCGATCGCTTAATATCCGCATCCCGGATGCTCCGCTAGAGGTTGGAGCCGGTTTAATAATTTACGTGATAACCTCGAATTATTACTTCGCATTCAGATCATGTGCTTCAGATTATAAATAAGCTATCCAGTAAAGATATAATGATTGGCTAAAAAAACAATCATTTATATGACCAATATTACCAAACCGTTTTTCAAATTTCCTTTTTGGGAATTTTCCGATGATCGACAAAATTAACCAATAAAATTATTGTATCACCTATAAAATATCACATGTACGTACGTATGTACTACCAGTTAAAATTAAAGCTCATGATTATTGATGTTCTATTCGCTACGTATTAATTGATTGATTTCATAACGATAAAAATATTAAAAATTTTTATAATATAGGAATTATTGGAACAATGAAGGATCTAATACAGCTATCAGCAAGGCATATGAAGTTAATTAGCTGTTTCACATAACCAAGTCATGTCAGTTTTTACAACTTCGATATAAAATTTTAAAGTTATTTGCAATCGGGGTAGTTTTTGAATAAATACCCGATCACTATCAAGATCATGGGATATTTAGTGTACAAGCGGAAACTTTGTTTCCACTAATACCCAACAGATCAGGATAATTTTATTACTAGAAATTAAAAGCCAGGCAGATTGGTTACTTAAAGCTCATATCGATATATTATGAGAAACAATTAATTAACCTTATATGGCCTAGATCAAGAACATTGATCAAATTTTTTTTTCTTTTGGCCTC